GCGGTTGAGCATCTGCCTTTGGCTCAGGTCATGATCCTGGGATCCTACGATCGAGTCCCGCATTGGGCTCCCTACAGGGAGCCTGCTTCTCACTCTGCCTGTGTCTCTGACTCTCTCTCTGTATCTCTCATTATTTTAATTTTTTTTAAAATTTATTTATTTATGACAGTCACAGAGAGAGAGAGAGAGAGAGAGAGAGAGAGAGAGGCAGAGACACAGGCAGAGGGAGAAGCAGGCTCCATGCACCGGGAGCCCGATATGGGATTCGATCCCGGGTCTCCAGGATCGCGCCCTGGGCCAAAGGCAGGCGCCAAACCGCTGCGCCACCCAGGGATCCCTCTGTATCTCTCATGAATAAATAAAATCTTAAAAAAAAAAAAAAAGAGTTCTTAGCTTAAAACATATTGTTACAAGATATTTTATGAAAGCCCCAGGATAACTACAAAGAAAATACTTGTAGAGGTTATAAAAAAGAAATGGAAAGGACTCAAAGCATATCAATACAAAAAAAAAATGAAAGAAACAAAAAGACAGCAAGCAAAGAGTAAGAGGGACAAAAGAACTATAAGAACAGAAAATGGACAAACTGGCAACAGTAAATCCTTCCTATTAATAGTAACTTTAAATATAAGTGGACTAAACCTTTCAATCAAGACATAGTAGCTAAACAGATAAAACAACAAGATCCACCTATATGCTGTCCTCAAAAGACTCACCTGAGACTTAAGGACTCATACATCGGCTGAAAGTGAAGAGATGGAACAAGATATTCCATGTAGATGGTAACCTAACGACAGCTGGGGTGGCTATACTTATATCCGACAAAACAGGCTTTAAGTAAAAAACAGTCACAAGAGACAAAGAAGGACATTATTTACTGATAAAAGGGTCAACTCACCAGGAAGATACAGCAATTATAAATATATTTGCACTCAATATCAGAGCACTTACATATATAAAGCAAACACTGGCAAAACTAAAGCAAGACATAGACAAAAATAACTGGACACTTCAATGGCCTACTTGCAATGATACATGAAACAACCAAACAGAAAATAAACCGTGACTTGAATACTACTATAGATCAAATGGACCTAACAGATCTAAATAGAACATTTCAATCAATAGTAGCAGGATCTATTCTTATCAAGTGCACATGGAACATTCTCCAGGGGAGATCATATGCTAGGTCACAAAACAAGTCTTGAAGAAATTTAAGAAGACTGAAATCATACCAAGTATCTTTTCTGACAACAGTAAATGAAACTACAAATCAATAGCAGAATGAAAACTGGAAAATTCACAGATATGTAGAAATTAAACAATACATTAAAAAAAAGATTTTATTTATTTATTCATGATAGAGAAAAAGAGAGAGAGAGAGAGAGAGGCAGAGATACAGGCAGAGGGAGAAGCAGGCTCCATGCAGGGAGCCCGACGCAGGACTTGATCCCAGGTCTCCAGGATCACTGCCCGGGCCGAAGGCAGAGCTAAACTGCTGAGCCATCCTGGCTGCCCAACAATATACTTTTGAACAAACAATTGGTCAAAATAAATAAATTAGAAAATATCTTTTTAAAAAAAGATTTTATTTATTCATTTGGCAGAGAGCACAAGAGGGGAGCAGCAGGCAGAGGGAGAAGCAGACAGGCTCCCTGCTGAGGAGGGAGCCCAATGTGGGTCTTGATCCTAGGACCCTCGGATCATGACCTGAGCCGAAGGCAGATGCTTAACCGACTGAGCCACCCAGGTGCCTCTAAAAAATATCTTGAGACAAACAAAAACATATTTCAGATGAAGAAAAAGTAGGACAAAGAGGGAAGTTTATAGTTCATATATTAAGAAAGAAGAAAAATCACAAATATATGACCTCATACCTCAAGAAAGAAACTAAACGCAAAGTTGGCACATAGAAGGAAATAATAAAGATTAGAGCAGATGCAAACATAAGATCTGACATTGTAAAACTTCTAGAAGAACACTTAGGGGGAAAAGTTTCGTGACACTGGCCTTAGTGATGATTTCAGGATATGATACCAAAAGCACAGCAACAAAAGTAAAAATAGACATACAGGATTACATCAAACTTAAAAGCTTATGCACAGCAAAGGAAACAATCAAAACAGTGAAAAGGCAAACCTATGGAATGGGAGAAAATATTTGCAAACATGTACTTGATAGTGGTTAATTTCTAAAATATATAAGCAAAAGAACTAATAACTTGACTAAAAAACGAATTAAGAATGTGAGTAGGCATTTCTCTAAAGCAAATGTACAAATGGCCAAGAAGTATATGAAAGATGCTCAATCTCTAATCATTACAGAAACATAAATCAAAGTCATGAAGAAACATCGGTTATTACTTTTAGGATGGCTATCATAAAAAAAAAAAAACAAGTAATAAATGCTGGTGAGGATGCTAAGAAATTGGAACTCGTGTACACTACTGGGGGAAATGCAAAATGGTGTAGCCACTCTGGAAAACAGCATGGAGGTTCCTCAAAAAATTAAAAATAGAACTATCATATGATCCACCAATCCCACTTCTGGAGATTTATCCAAAAGAATTGAAATCAGGATCCTGAGGAGATACTAGTGCTCATATGTTTAATAGTCAAGATGTGTAAACAACCGAAATCCATAGATGGATGAGTGGATGAAGAAAATATGCTGTATACATACAATGGAATATTTAGTCCTAAAAAGAAGAAAATCTTTGAACCTTGAAGACACTATGCTACATGAAACCTGCCAGTTATAGGACAAATACAGTTATAGGACAAATACATCTAAAAAGAGCAAAACTCATAGAAGTGAAAAAGTAGTTACTAAGAGTGGTTGGTTACCAAGGACTGGGGCTATAGGAAAATGAGCAGTTGATAATCAGCAAGTTTTAATTATGTAAGGCAAATAACTGCTAGAGAGCTGCTATATAATAGTATGCCTTAAGTTAGCAATACTGTATCATACACTTAAAAATTTGTTGAGAGTAGATCTCATGTTAAATGATCTTATCACAATTATATTTATTTTTTTTAAGATTTTATTTATCTGTGAGAGACGCATGCACAGCAGCGGGGAGGGGCATAGGGAGAGGGAGTAGCAGACTCCTCCCAGAGCAGGGAGCTGGACATGGGGCTTGATCCCAGGACCCTGAGATCACAACCTGAGCCAAAGGCAGAAACTCAACCAACTGAGCCACCCAGGTGCCCCTGACAATTAAATTTAAAAAGAAAAATTTTAAAAGGCAGTTATAAGAATTTACATCCCACCAGCAGCTTGAAGGTGCTGCTCCACATGCTCATCTATCCTTACTAATGTTAGTCTTAAATTTTTGCCCACGTTGCAAGTGAGATAATGATATCCCACTGCAGTTTTAATTTGCATTTCCCTAATAACTAATAAAACTAAACTTTTCACATGTTAAAAAAGCTAATAATATTTCTCTGCACCAAAAAAAATAAAATTAAAAAAAAATATTTCTCTGCACCAATAATACCAATTAGAAAATTGTAGATGCTCACAACAGCAACACAATCTACTGGAAAAATCTAGAAAGTAACTGAATAAAGAACAAAAACTTGCTGTGGAGAACAACAGGTTGCAAATGATTTGTCTGGTGAAAAGACAGCCTTAAGGTTACAAATTTATTATCCTGTAAGTCAATAACTAGTTTTTGTATCCAAGTTAGTGATGTGATTCCTGCATTCTTTCTCTCTGGGACAGTATGAACTCAGTCTCTTCCAGATAACTTGAACTAGCTTTACCATTCTTCTGGTTCTCTCATTAATGAGCTAAATAAATCTTTCAAATATGCTTATCATATACTTAGAAAAGTTATATTTAACTTTTGAGAAGTTTTATACTCTGATGATTTTGAAGATCCCATCAAGATGTCCAAATGACTTATCTACAGGAGGCAGTAAAGTGTGTGACTTGAGAAGTGTACCTCGCAGGCTATTTAAGTCCTAGCAGTCTTCTCTTCTTGGCTGCCTCAGTACATCCCAAGCAGCAATAAAACTCTACTTTCATTCACTTTCTGTCCACTACACCCCTCTCAATGTGCCTTGCTTGGGTTTCGTTGTTAGGCCAAGTCTAGTTTGGGTTCTGGTTTGTGCAAGGTTGGTAAGTTACGGTGATTAGAAATCTGATTTTATGGCTATTTCTATAGGGATAATGGAAATCTGTTTCCAGGGATCCCTTCATTCTTTGTTAAGTGAGAAAACAGAGAATCTGGATTATTATCTTCCCTGTGAGTCTGTTTAAAATATCTTGTGCCTCCCAGAAAGGAAAAAAAAAAAAAAATGGAGCTCTGCATTGGTGAGTTCTTTAGTTGTTTATTCTACTTTATGGCTAAACTGTAAAACTAAAGTTGTGTCTACAATTGAAAAAAGCTTCTTTTGTTGTTTTATCTTACTTTTTTTGGATATAATTGACATAAAATTTTTACCTGATAATAGGGTAAGTGTGAAATATTTTCCTATTTCCAGGACCTATTAATAAACTTAATTATGAAGGCTCTTAACTTAAAGGAGTTCACACTAAAAGCACATGCAACCAAAGAAAAAATAGATAAACTGGATTTCGTCAGAATTAAAAATTTGTGCTTTGGGGATCCTGGGTGGCTCAGCAGTTTAGCGCCTGCCTTTGGCCCAGGGTGTGATCCTGGAGTCCCAGGATTGAGTCCCACGTCAGGCTCCTGGCATGGAGCCTGCTTCTCCCTCTGCCTGTGTCTCTGCCTCTCTCTCCTTCTCTCTGTGTATCTCATGAATAAATAAATAAAATCTTTAAAAAAATAAATAAAAATAAAAAAATAAAAAACTTGTGCTTCAAAGGACAAAACCAAGAGAGTGAAAACACACTCACTAAATGGGAGAAAATACTTGTGAATCATATAGCTGATAAGAGACTTGTATCTAGAATATATAATAACTCAAAAATAAAAAGACAACCCAGTTAAAAAAAATGGGACAATATCATTACCCTATCATCTCTCTCACCTGAACAAAGGCCTCTTGTCAGCTCTCTTTCAACCATCCAGGGCTCTTTTCCTTGTTCCAATAAGGAAATCACAGCTGGCTTAGAATTGGAAAGTCCTGATCACAAGAAAAGACACGGGACATTGTTATGCTGTGGGTGTCTCAAAAATCAGATCCAGTCCCTTGGTGATCAAGAAAAAGATGCCACTATAGGAAGGACCAGAGAAAGATGAAGATGAAGCTTCAGCCCATTGGAGCTGCTTATTTTCAACTCTTCCATTCCATTCCAACTCAAACCATTCCTTGAGGAACAAGGAGCAGAAATTTAGCTGGTTACTTGAAACAAATAATTAACAATGGAGAAAGGAGACATTTCCAAGGGCAGACTCTGAATTTGGGGGGATAAAGTTATCCTTACCCACTGAAACCAGGTTGCTGAAATTCTCCAACATCACTTCTTTGTATAAATTCATCTGACCAGAGTCCAGGCATTCCCATTCCTCCTGAGAGAAGTTTACAGATACATCCCTGAACATCATTGACCCCTGAAACAACAAACATGCTTTTACGGTTGAAGGAGATTTAAAAAATAAATAAATAAGATGGTAGTAGAGATGGTGGTAGAAAGCTTTATAGAAAGAAACAGAGATCATTAAGCAAATTGAAGGGAAGTCTATTATGTCAGTAGAAGACATATTTCCTGTGTAGAGAGGGATTTATCAAGGAATATGCAAGTAAACTTTTCTTATGAAATAGCAAACATACAGCTCAATGGTCAATGCCTGGTTATACTGAAGAGTGCATATAGGTGAATTCCTTCCCCCTTCCCACATTTTCCCTTTAAGACTCCAAAGACAGAACAATGTGATGTACTTTAAAAAAAACATCTTATATTTTGGAGTAAAATTTCAGAATGTCAAGGAAAAACAGAATTTCTAAAAGCTTCCAAGAAGAAAACATGGATCACACAAAAATTTTCAGAAATTAAAATCACAGTGGACTTTTCAACAGTACTCCTTGAAGTAAGAAAAAAAAATATTCCTTTAATATTACAAAGGAAAATGAATTCTGGCCTAGAATTCTTTTTTTTTTTAAGATTTTATTTATTTATTCATGAGAGACACACACAGAGAGGCAGAGACAGGCAGAGGGAGATGCAGGCTCCATGCAGGGAGCCCAATGTGGGACTCGATCCTGGGACTCCAGGATCACGCCCTGGGCCAAGGCAGGCACTAAACAGCTGAGCCACCCAGGGATCCCCCCTAGCCTAGAATTCTATACCCAGTCAAAGCTAGTGTGAGAATTATATACCAAGTAAGATTAAAACTCAAGCTAGTATGAAGATACATTTGCAGGGAAAGATAAAAATATCTCCAATTTGCTTTTAACAGAAGCTCCTGGGCTACAGACTCCATCAAAAGTAGGGAGTAAATTAAGAAAAAGAAAGATACTATATTCAGAAACTACAAGATGCGTGTTCCAGGACATTATCTGGCACCAGAACTAGGGAGCAATGTCTAGAAACAGGAAGACAAAGGACTATGGGAAAGATATCTACAAGGAAAAATAAAGACCTAATAATAAGTTTGATCACATGGGAAGTATTTTAGATAGGCAACTGGAAGCAGTGTTAGTAGATTTGGGGAAGAAAAGAGCTACACATATATGGAATGAGGCAACTGAGGAAACAAACCAGTTTACCCTCAGAAAACTGTAAAAATTGTACTGAAAAGAACTTGGATCTAGTGTACTACTTGGCTCAGATTAATAATATCTGCAAGGTCCTAATTAGATGACTATCAATGGTTTAAAGAAAACTTGTGACATAACTCTTTTACAGGAACATGAAGTGAGGAATGGGATATGGGAAATATCAAACCATATTTACCTCAAGAAAGTCACCAGGAAATGTCTATTAAAAAAATAGCAATGGAGACGCCTGGGTGTTAAGTATCTCTTGATTTCAGTTCAGGTCATGATCTCTGGGTTGTGAGATTAGGCCTGGTGTCAGGCTCTGCACTATGTGTGGAGCTTGCTTAAGATTTTCTCTCTTTCTCCCTCTGACCCTCCCTGCCCAAATAAATAAATAAATAGCATATTTTAAAAAAATAGCAATATAGGAATATGAATTTGAAATATTGGAAAAAAGGGGCCACCTGGGTGGCTTAGTTGGTTAAGCATCTGCCTTTCAAGCTCAGGTCATGATCTCAGGGTCCTGGGACTGAGCCCCACACTAGGCTCCCTTCTCAGCAGGGAATCTACTTCTCCCTTTTCTTTCCCTCTCCCCCTAACCCCACTCCTGCTCTCTCTTTCTCTCTCTCAAATAAAATATTTAAAAGAAAAAGAAATATAGGAAGAGGGCACCTGGATGGCTCAGTTGGTAGAACAAGTTACTCTTGATCTCGAAGTTGTGAGTTTGAACCCCATGTGGGGTGCAGAGATTACTTAAAAATTAAATCTTTAAAAAAAGAAAGAGAAAATATAGGAAACCTGCCAAGAGAAACAGAAAAAAATTTGAGGGTATCCACTTGAGGGGAGTGGGATTGGGTACTGGGACAAAGCTCTGCCATTTTTCATTAAGTCTTTTAAAATTTCTTGAAATTTTTAAACGCAAAATTGGCTGAACATTAATTTAAAATATTACTATCAGGATGCCAGGGTGGCACAGTCAGTTAAGCATCCAACTCTTGGTTTTGGCTCAGGTCATGATCTCAGGCTTGTGAGATAGAGCCCTACATCAGTCTCCACGCTTAGCATGGAGTCTGCTTCAGAATCTCTCTCTCTCTCTCTCTCTCCCCCCTCCCCCCTCTGTCCCTCTTGCTCATGCTCTCTCAAATCTTTAAAAAATAAGTAAAACATCACCATCTTAGACAAGAGCATAATTTAACTTTCTTGAAAATTACAGTTCCCTTATGACTGTTACAAGAATTATTCCCTATTAACATAAATTCCTTAACTTTTATAATTTTACTAGAATTTTCCACAATATAAACATTATGAAAAAACCTTGCCATTTTGTTAGGCAAAATCCTTAAGATCCTTTCCAGATATGGTCCTCCCTCTCATACCTTGCTCCATACATCTCTACCATTTGGCTGCTCCTGAATTGTATTCTTTGTAGTAAAACTGTGATCATAAATATAGTACTTAATGGAGTTCTAGGAGTCATTCTAATCAATTACTGTACCTGAGTAGGCATTGTGGGAATGCCTCAATTTGTGGTTTGCTGGGCAGAAGTGCAGTTGCCTTTGGGCTACCCAAGGCTTGTAACACTTGTCTGAAATAGGGTAGTCTGTAAGGCTAAGTTCCTAAACCTATGGGGCTCTGTGTTAACTCTGGGTAATTAATGTCAGAACTGCATTAAATTGTAGGACTCAATTGGTGCCCCAAAACTGGTTGTTGAAAGATGACACACATTTCCATCCCATAGGAAAAATTAGGTTACTTCTCTTTCATCTTAGACTCCAGGGTCCAAAGTAGAATGAGACTGTTTAGGAGAATTTTTGCTGTTTCTTGGAGTTTAGAGGGCACAGGCACAGAGACTGGCATCCAGTTCTCTTTTTGGACCATGAGAGGGACAGTGTGATTCCCAACAAAGCAGTAGATCACAGAATCCCCAAGTGTAAGACAGATACTATAAGTAGCCATTCAAGGGCCCCTGGGGGCTCAGTCAATTAATCACCTGACTCTTGATTTCAGCTCAGGTCATGATCTCATGGGATCGAGCCCCACATTAGGCTCTGTGTTCAGCATCAAGCCAGCTTGTTCCTCTCCCTCTCTCTCTAAAATAAATAAATAAAATCTTAAAAAAAAAAAAAGTAGCCATTTTAAGATGTGTTGCCCATGTCACATGAAAGTACAATGAGAGGTTTCCAGCAGGGAATTCTCTGAGAATACTATCAAAGCACCCTATAAGAAAATGAGTCAGTGCTGAAAATCCAGAAAAGCAAGAGGGACTAAGACCAAAACAATAGCACCAGTCAAATAAGTCTTTTCCCTTACCTCTTCTTTTCTACCCACTGCAACCCCATAGGAGTCAAAAACAGCCTACTGGGTGGGAGAAAAGAAACTTAGGTTGAAGAAAAGTTTAGTGTATCTCTCTTTTCACACTGTAAGCTTCTAGCTTACAGCAAATCTAAACTCAAAGAAAAGGCTTTATTATTTTTTTTTAAGATTTTATTTATTTATTTGAAAGAGAGAGAGAGTGAGAGAAACAGAGAGGATGAGCAGGGAGAGGGAGAAGTAGGCTCCTGCAAGCAGGGACCCAATACAGAGTTCAGCCTAGGACCATGTGATCATGACCTGAGCCAAAGGCAGACACTTAACTGACTGAGCCACCCAGGCACCCCCAATGAAAAGATTCCAAATGAGTCTTACATATTATTACACTCAACCAGAGATTATAATTTGTAAATTGAGACTGACTTTATCACTGGAAAAAAAAAAGGATACTAAAGAGTGATCAAAACAATTATAGGGATTACACAAGTTTTTATCCAGGGCAACAAAAAAAATTAGCCCAGAGTTGAAAGTAGAAATTATGAAAAATTTATTTTGCTTGCTTCCTATGAAGTCCGGCTTATTTCAAAGTACAAGTTATAGGCTGATTTGGTTTTCGAGGTACATATTCATATCATCTGTGAAGTGATAATTTTACATCCTCTTTTCTAATTTTTAACCTAATTTTTTCTCTTGTCTAAGTACTTTGGTTAATACCAATGCAACAATTTAAATAACACTGGTGATGGTGTATATCCTTATCTTTTCTCTGATTTTAGTATGAATGGTTCAAATATTTCCTGATTAAACATTAGGTTTTAAAAAGGGGGAGAGGGTGCTGGGCTGGCTCAGACAGTAGAGCATGCTACTCTTTATCTCCAAGTTTATAGGGTCAAGCCCTATTTTGGATATAGAGATTAATTTTGTAGAAAAATTAAAAAAATTTTTTTATTAGCTTCTGAGAACAAAATTCATTTCATTCCTTTTATCTTGTACTATACTATTATAGAGTATTATATAATAACTAGCATTATTCCAATTAATATTGGGCAACAATCTTCACTATAGAAATGGCAAGTGTAATTAGAGGCTGATGGGAGAGAAGAGCCAGATACTCTGGATTTTGGCACAGGAGAATGGACTGGAAACACTCAGTCATCTTCTAAAGAACTCAGAGAGGAAGGTCTTAAGCTGAATACATTTGGGGTGATTGATTCTTAACCTGATTTCCTTTGCCTCTGTACCAAACACACCATTTTAAAAATTGAGAGTAGACACCTAGAGTATCAACTCTAAAAACAAAAAAGAGGGATCCCTGGGTGGCGCAGCGGTTTGGCGCCTGCCTTTGGCCCAGGGCACGATCCTGGAGACCCGGGATCGAATCCCATGTCGGGCTCCTGGTGCATGGAGCCTGCTTCTCCCTCTGCCTGTGTCTCTGCCTCTCTCTCTCTCTATCTGTGTGACTGTCATAAATAAATAAAAATTTAAAAAAAAAAAAAGATTAAGAGACAAAAAAGGGTAATGATAAATTCTAATCTATGTTTAATCAGAGCCTGAGAAGGGAAAGGAGAGAGAGAGAGAGGGAGAGAATAAGGAAGAGGCAATCTTTGAAAATGGCTGACAATTTCTTTAACATAATAAAAAACACCTATCCACAAATTCAAAAAACTCTACAAATCCCAAGCAGATAAAATTTTTAAAAGGCACACTTAGACATGTTATACTAAAATTACAGAAAAAAAACCCAAAAAAACCAACTGGGAAAAAGTCTTAAAAACAGCCAGAGGAGGGCAGCCTGGGTGGCCCAGCGGTTTAGCACTGTCTTCAGCCCAGGGTGTGATCCTGGGGTCCTGGGATCGAGTCCCACGTCGGGCTCCCTGCATGGAGCCTGCTTCTCCCTCTGCCTGTGTCTCTGCCTCTCTCTCTCTCTCTCTCTCTCTCTGTGACTATCATAAATAAATAAAAAAAAATTAAAAAAAAAAACAGCCAGAGGAAGAAAAGCCAAAATACCTTCAAACGAGAGGGAAGCTAGAAAAATTGAGACTGTGATACTATGATAGAGCTCATAAATATACCCACACACATACAGACTGGATTTACATGTATTTGGATACATCTGAAATGGGAACAGTGCACTAATATTTGGTTCTGAGAAAGCGAGGGAGGAATTTATAAGACGGAAAAACCTTGGGCCCCACTTTACATCATACATGAAAGCCAGCTGGGGGGGGGGATTAAATATATAAATGGGAAAGGCAAAACTTTTTAAAAGATTTTATTTTTAAGTAATCTCTGCACCCAATGTGGGGCTTGAACTCACAACCCCAAGGTTGAAAGTCACATGCTCCACCAACTGGGCCAGCCAACCCAAAAAGCAAAAGTTATAGCTTTAAGCATAAATATAGAAGGATATCTGTATAACTTTGGGACAGGAAAGGATTTCTTGAAATACAAAAAGCACCAACCATAAAGAAAAAAAATTGGATAAATTTAATTGTGTTAAAGTTAGGATTTGTATTCATAAAACCACCTTAACAGAGTGATAAAACAATCTAAACAGTAGAAAACTATCAATGAAGGACCCACACTCCTATGAATCAACAAGAGATAATCCAAGAGCAAAAAGGTAAAAAGATCTGAAGAGGCAGGTCACAAATGACAAAACCCTAATAACCAATAAACATATGAAATGGTGTTCAATCTCATTATTAATCATGGAAGTCCAATTTCAAAACTGTGTGTGTTGTGTGTGTGTATAAATAAATATTTAAAGATTTCAAAGTCTGACATAACTGACCTGGAAAAAAGGATAGACTATAACTCATTCATATAAAGAAATATTTATCTTTGAAAAATTGTACTTACAAAGACCATTTGACAACACAAGAGAATGATACTTTTTAGTGAAAATGTAGGACATAATATGGTAAATGCAGTATAATTTGATTTTGGAAAAATAATAAAAATTAATCAAAACATTAAGTTATTTTAGTGATCACATTTTATGTTTTGGTAATTCTGTGTTTTCTCTAAAATAATCATGCTTTTATTTTTATTTTATTTAAGTAGGCTCCATATCCAGCATGGAACCCAATGCAGGGCCTGAACTCAGGACGCTGAGATTAAGACCTGAGCCCACATCAAGAGTTAGTGGCTTAACCGACTGAGCCACCTACGCACCTCATATTTTTATTTTAAAGTAATAACAAATATTGCATTTATTTAAGATTTTATTTATTTACTCATGAGAACACTCAGAGAGAGGCAGAGACATAGACAAGAGGGAGAAGCAGGCTCCTCGCAGGGAGCCCAATGCAGGACCGGATCCCTGGACCCAGCATATACCCGGAGCCAAGGGCAGATGCTCAGCCTCTGTGCCACCCAGGCGTCCCAAATATTGCATTTAAAAAGAAGAAAAGTCCACAAACAGACGTGGAGCCATTTTCCAAATAAGTAAACATTAAATATATTGGTGCTGTTGGGTTTTAATACCAGGCTGGCCTACTCTTTTCTCTAAGAGGGAAATCAGAGGGACCTACAATTAAATGGCATCTTTCTTATCATTTAACTTTCAGAAGAAAGAAAACAAAGAGGAGACTCGAACACACCTTGGACATTGCTTGTAGAAGTTCATTGTGCATTCTTTCCTTCTCTTCTGCACCTAGAGAAGGGCGGAACTGGGAGAGGAAAAAGTAATTGCAAAACACCACGTTTTCCTTATTTCCCAGACTGGTCTGGTCAGAGGTCAGCTCCAGTCCCAGGCACAGCTCCCACCACACACGGGGGATGGAAATCAGAGGAGAATGGGGCATCCTGCCTAATCCGTGTCTCAGGAAAAAGCTGAGGTCCCTGGTGTCAAGGAGCTATAATCTGGCCAAATTTCACAAAGGTTCTCTGGGGACAGAGTCCTGGAGTTATATACACTCTTACATATGACAGGAACCCCATACCAGACACAGTGCCCCATATCTTGGGCACGGTCATACTGAAACCAATGCGACAAACACTCCACACCTGCACACAGAGAGCTGCACCTGGTAACACAGTTGTCATATACCCACCACCGAACACATACAGTTAACTTACTCTCGTACAGTCGCAAGACACCCCCCTCCCCAGTGCCGCGGGGTCACAATCCCACATCACCATGAGAACACACGCAGTCACAACCCCACAATGATGGGCAACCGATAATCGCACACAGGTCTCAATGTCACAACCTCTCACACACACAATCCCACAACCTTCCCCTTTCCAGGCCGCTCCGCTCGCACGGGTCGGATGACCCATTTCGGTACCTGCCTCCGGGTTCCTCAACTTACGCCTTTCGGGTCTCCTCGCGTCGCAACGGGCAGAGTTGAATCAGTTCCTCCGCGGCCGATCGAATCTCACCTCACGGATCTAACGGTCCCGCCTGGCGTGACGAAACGTTCGCGTTCCTGCGAGAAGAGCGACGGGCCACAGGGCCCTCTGGGAAATGTAGTCCGGAGATGCACCCGCGGCCCCGCGGCCAATTCCTCTCAGCGACCTGCCAGGGCACTCCCGAAACGACTGTAACTGCAGTTCTCAGCCAGTCTCAGGGTTGCGAGGCACGGTAGGTTGGCATCTTCCAGCCGGGCCTTCGGCGCCGGCCTGGTGCATCCCCTTCCTCACACAGGAAACGCAGACAGCTTTCCGGTCGGAAGTTAAATCAGGCCGCGAAGCCTTCTGGGAGGTGGTGTGCTCGGGAACGTCCGTTGGGAGGAGGGCGCGAAGGGATGGTTCGGCGTTACCCGCGTCTGGCCTGGGCCTTTCTGTCGGTCGCCTTCACATAACCTCCCAGAAACCGCGAGCTGAAGGCGCATTCGGGCGTTTCCGGCAGGTGACGCTACCGCGTCCCCGCAGCGGGGCATGGGGGAGGGGCTTGAGCTGTTTGGGCTGCGAGGCCGCTAGGCGGCGAGGCTGACGGGGCGGAGCCTCTCGGGAGGCCCAGCGCGTCTGGAGTGGCCACGGTGCAAAGTGCTTGGGGTGGGAATACGCTCCTGGAGAGTGGTTGGAGTTGTTGCACCAAGAAACTGTGGTGGGAGTGTGTGTGTGTGTGTGTGTGTGTGTGTGTGTGTGTGTGTGTGTGTGTGTGAAAGAGAGAGAGTGACTGTGGTGATGTGTGTGAGTGTGATGGACTAATTGTGATGGGATGTTTGAGGTGTGGTGTGTAATGACGATGTTTGTGGTTGTGTGTGGTTGTATGGTGTTTGATTGTCGTGAAAGGTCTGTGATGAGCTATTTGTGATATGTGTCGTGGTTCTTGAGTTGACTTCTGTATAGTATTTGTCATACTCGATAACGTCTTGGAAAAAAAATTGTATAAAATTTTGTATTTGGTTTTAGGCAGTCCTCCCTGTCCTTTGGCCACTCCTTAGTCTCCTTTGCTGCCTTCCCTCCCTTCCCTCAGAAGTTCTTGGTTCTGTTCTGTTGCCTTCCAGTTTTCCTGTGGATCTTTTCCAGATTCATGATCTCAACATCATATGGCTTGCATCTTTTATCATATGTATTACTTAGCTATTGCCATGATAGTAATGCTAACAAAACTACCTGTAAATCCGTGGCATAAACAGCAAGCATTTATTCGCATGTTCACCTGTTCCTTGGTTCTCTGTGTTCAGCTTATTTAGGCTGTTGTTGGCTGAGTAATTAGACTGCAGGATGGATTTAGATCTGTTCTATGTATGTTCTTTCTGCCACTCAGGCTAAAAGGACAGTAGTTATCAGGACATGCTCTCATCATGGATCATCAGAGCGCAGGACAAACCATACAAACACCCTTAAATACCTCTGCTCCTCCGTATGCTAATAATACATTAGCTAAAGCAAGCACATGGCTTAACATAAAACTCAGGTGGGAGGACAAAGTAAAGTTAGTGGCAAGGAGTGTGAATATTAGAGGGACATGAAGAATTGGGACCAAGATTTCAATTTACTGCATTAGGAACCATGCCTCTTTATCCTGGTGAACGCCTTTTACTCCAAGTTCTCTTTTGTCTGATAATATTCCTGTTCAGATTTTGTTATTGTATTATCCAGGAAGTTCATTTTCCAACCCCTTCTTTTTATGTTTTTATGCTTTAGGTCTCTTGTAAAGAGTATATTGCTGGACTTTTTACCCTTTTATCCTGTTTGAATGTTATTTTAATAGGTGAGTTAAATTCATTTGCATTTATTGGGATGCTGATAAAAATTTGCTTTCTATATATTGTAGCTTTTTTATTGTGTAGATTTAGCTTATTCACTTTTCTCTCTCCACTGCTTTGGTTTCCGTTCTTTTCCTTGAATTTTTAACATACATACTTAACAAAACCCCAACTTAAGACTTTAGAATACATGAACTCCAAACTACCCACCCATTTCTGTGTTATCCTTATCTAATATATTCCTTTCTTCTGATTTTAAATTCACCAGAGTAGTAGAATTCATTTAAGTGTATATATATATATATATATATATATATATATATACACATCTTTTGTACATATATAAATGTGTATCTGTGTCTTTTTATACGTGTATATATGTATATATACTTTTTAATTGTGATAAAACTTAACACATAACATAAAATTTTCCATCTTAATATCTGCACCCCCATTTTCATTGCAGCATTATTTATAATAGCCAAAATAAGGAAACATCAGTAGATGAATGGATAAAGAAAATGTGGTATATACATACAATGGAATATTATTCAAAGAAGGAGAGCCTGCTGTTTGTGACAACAGGGATGAAACTAAAGAACATTATGTTATGGGAAGTAAGCCAGTCAGAGAATTAATACTTCATGATTCCATTTGTATGACATATCTAAAATAGATTCAAGAGGCACAAGAATAGAATAATGGTTGCCAGAGCCTAGGGAGTAGAGGGAAATGGGAAATTGTTTTTCTATGGGTACAAAATTTATATTACGCAAGAAAAATAAGTTGTAGAGGTCTGTACAACACAACACCTATATTAACAATACAGTATTATATACTTTGTTTTGAGTACAGATCTTGTATTAATTGTTCTACCACAGAAACAAAAGAACTCAAGGAAATTTTTGGAGGTGATGGATATGTTTAGTACCTTGGTTATGGAATTGGTATCATGAATATATATATATATGTCTAACTCATCAGGATATATATATATTAAATGTGTGCAACTTTTTGTACGTTAATTATACCTTGACAAAGCTAGAAGCACAAAAACGTTTAACTTTTTTTTTTAAAGATTTTATTTATTTATTCATGACAGACACACAGAGAGGGAGAGAGGCAAGGACACAGGCAGAGGGAGAAGCAGGCTCCACGCAGGGAGCCCGATATGGAACTCGATCCGGGGTCTCCAGGATCCAGCCCTGGGCTGAAGGCGGCACTTAAACCGCTGAGCCACCCAGGCTGCCCCAACATTTAACATTTTAATCATTTTTAAGTGTAGAGTTCAGTGGCCTTACATTCATATTGCTGTACCAGTGTCACCACCATTTATCCCTAGAACTCTTTCATCTTGTAAAAGAGAAACTTTGTACCCATTAAGCAATAACTTCCCCATTCCTTGGATCTCTCAGTCCCAGAAACTTCCATTCTACTTTTCTATGTGAATTTTTTTTTAAGGATTTTATTTATTTTTTCATGAGAAACACATAGAGGCAAAGACATAGAGGGAGAAGCAGGCTCCTCGCAGGGAGCCGGATGCAGAACTCAATCCCTGGACCCAGGATTGCACCCTGAGCCAAAGGCCGACTCAACCACTGAGCCACCCAGACGTCCCTACTTTCTGTCTATATGAATTTGACTACTCTACATACCTCATATAAGTTGAATCATACAGTATTTGTTTTTTTGTGAAGAGTTTATTTAACTTAGCATAATTTCTTCCAGGTTCATCCATGTTAAAGCATGTCAGAATTTCATAATATTCCACACTATGTATACACTGCATTTTGTTTATCCATTCATTCATCTGTCAATGCATATGTGGGTTTCTTCTACCTTTTGACTATTACAAATATGCTGCTATAAATGAGTGTACAAATATTTGTTCAAGTCCTTGCTTTCAGTTCTTTTGGGTATGTACCCAGAAGTGGAATTTTTGGATCTGGTAAATTCTGTTTTTTTTTTTTTTTTTTTTTTTCACTGCCATATTGTTTTCCATAGTGGTTACACCATTTTAATCAACATATTTTTTTGAGCACCTACCATCAATGGCAAAGAGAGATAAAAAAAAAAATTCCTGTTTTCATGGAGTTTATAATGAGGGGATACACAGACAATATGTATGATAAATAGTTTATTAGTGATAATTGCCTAGGGGAAAATAGAAATTGTGTGAGGGATATTAAGAGTATCTCAAAATTTATTACAATTGAATGTTTCTGTTTTATTCTGTTCTGTCATACAGTGTAAGGATTAGTCTACATTCTTGTATATTACTTTTTTATTCTATGTAATAAAGGCTTAAAGCAGATGATAAATTAATATTTCTTAACTTAGCCATTTTATTCATCCAATATCATTGTGATGTGAGTATAATTCTAATTTCAGATGAAGAGTATGGGAATCCTAAATTGCAACTCTCTTTTACCTTGATTGCCAGGATAAATAGGAAATGGAATAGCTGCAACTCTCTTTTACTCCAAACCTGAGGTTGCTGCAAATCTGAATCTTTTTTGACTCAACTTTGTATCTGTCACTACACTGAGTCTACACTTTAATGCTCACAGAAGATATTTGAAGAACAGATATTATGTAAACATCACTGTTGTGTTCACCTTGTTTCTAGAATCTTGGTGTTTCTCTTGAGTACTTAGTTCAACCTAGGTTGCTGAACCTTTGAGTGTTCCTCCAGGTTCTTACTGTCTTTGCATCCAGCAGCTCTGGTCTGTGACTCCAGGAAATGTGAATTATAAGCAAGGAAGCTAATTGTTTGGGACTGTATTAGTTTTTTACTATTGTGTAACAAATTACCTCAAAATTCACTGGCTTAAACAATAATAAACAATTATCTCACACTCAGTGGTGGGTGGGAAACAACTTAGCTGAATGGTCTGGCTCAGGTATTTCATGAAGTTGCAGTCAAGATGTTAACAAAGTTGCAGTCATTGTTAGGCTAGACTGGGGCTGGAGGATTTGCTTTCTAGATGGCTGACAAGTTAGTGCTGGTTGCTGGCAGGAGCCTTGCCCTAGGGCTGTTTGAGTGTCTTCATGGCATGGTGGCTGACTTCCTTCAAAGTGCATGATTCAAAAAATGTGCAATACAGAGACCACAATGTCTTTTATGACCTAACTTTGGAAGTCACACAGTATCATTTTTGCAATATTCTATTGGTTAAACAGGACAACTCTATTTAGTATAGGAGAGGTTGAACAAAAACTATGAATACCATAAGGTAGTGATCATTAGAAGCTACCTTGGAGGCTGGTTACTACAGAGATCTAGTGAGAAAACATCAAGTAAATTGGATTTATATCATAAGCCCACAGGTCCTGCCTCCACAAAGATAAGACAGATCTGTGATGTGAGTAAAAGGAAGCCTGGAGAGCAGGTATCCATCATGGAAGACCTTCTGACCTGAGAGGCTGCAGAGCCCTGAGATTGAGTGGACCCTGGAATTGTTGGATCTGCAGCTTATCTTAACCCTTCTGCCTGAGAGGGGAAGGCTTGAATGACATCTCAACCTTCAGAGATCAGCAGTAGCTCTGTGACAGTGGAGCATTTAACCCAGCTGATGGAAAGGAGAGGTGAGGTGGCTCAGAGATGGGCACAGTTTATGGGCAGAGATTTTTTTTTTTTAAGATTTTATTTATTTATTCATGCGAGACACAGAAAAAGAGAGGCAGAGACACAGGCAGGGGGAGAAGCAGGCTCCATGCAGGGAGCCCAATGTGGGACTCGATCCCGGGACTCCAGGATCACGCCCTGGGCCGAAGGCAGGCGCTAAACCGCTGAGCCACCCAGGGATCCCGGGGCAGAGAGATTTTAAAAAGAGTTAGGAAATTCAGTACTACTACCAAGAAACTTCACTTGAGTGTTACTGACTGCAGGGTAGGCATTTTGTTTTTTATTTATTCACTTAACTATTGTTTGATTTTTTAAAATAACTATTTTTTTTAAAGATTTATTTATTTATTTATGATAGACATAGAGAGAGAGAGAGAGAGGCAGAGACACAGGAGGAGAGAGAAGCAGGCTCCATGCCGGGAGCCTGACGTGGGATTCGATCCCGGGACTCCAGGATCGCGGCCTGGGCCAAAGGCAGGCGCTAAACCACTGAGCCACCCAGGGATCCCCTAAAATAACTATTTTAAATGTAATTTCTGTTTTTCTTAGTTTAGATTTTTTTAAAGGGCTGTTAAATGTATAATCATAAACAAAATTTCCTACTCTATTCTTTCTCATCCCTGATCCCACATTTTAGTATTCACTGCACTTTCCTGAATAATATCCTCATACTGCCCATGCTTAGTTTCTCAGTTTTAGTTGACTTTTGACAATGGACATAAGGATTTATCTCTGTTTTCTACCTAACCTCTTTCTTATCTCCCTCACCTCACCCCTCTCCCACCCACCTTCTCCTTGCCTTTCATTCTAATATGGTGTTTTATTAGAGGTTGAAGATTGACCAAATGTCAGGATCTGTATCTATTTTGGGGGAGGCTAGTCGGTTCCCCCTGCAAGAAGTAAGAAGTCTTAGATTTTGCTTGAGGAATATAAGCCAGAACTGCTTTTGGAAGGCAAACACAGTAGGAAATGAAGGATTGGAGGGACACACCTCATCTTTCAATATTACAACTTTCACTTAATTCCCTTATTTTCTCTACATTGCTCCAAACCCTTACATTCAGTTCCCATTCCCACACACCTGCCTGCAGAAGTACCTAGTGACTGCATTCCTAAGCTGTTCAAGGGTTCTGCCATGGTTTCCCCATCCTTCCCCCACCCTCACTTAAGCTTCAGCTTTCTCTGGTTAAATTAGATAACAATTATCTGTCCAATCTCTAGTTTCCAAAATTTTGTTGACATCTCTTATCTGCTGAAGTCTTCTATATTCTTTATCTTTATGAGACTCAGCTTCCTTTGTTCCTTTACTTTCATTTTGGTTGGTTTTGGGAGAGAGAAGAAGGAAATGCAAAAATGTATTTTTAACCTGAAGGCTCTGAATTTTTTAGATTAAAAAAGAAATTGTTTGAAATGTCATTAGAATCATGACTACATTTTATTCTAGCTTTTTTATTGGTTTACAGCGCCTAAACTGTCCCTAATTAAAGTTTTTCCAAATTTTTTTTTTAAGATTTTATTTATTTATTCATGAGAGACACAGAGAGAGAGAGGCAGAGACACAAGCAGAGGGAGAAGCAGGCTCCATGCAGGGAGCCTGATGTGGGACTTGATTCTGGGTCTCCAGGATCATGCCCTGGGCTGAAGGAGGTGCTAAACCGCTGAGCCACCCGGGCTGCCCTCCAAATTTTTTATAGTGCTTCATAAATTATATAATTCTTAAATCTTTATGGTAATTATTATTATGTACTTGAGGTAAATTTTCTATTAAGAGTAAAATAACAGGATCCTAGGGAAAGCCTGTATTTTGAATAGATTCATTGGTCACCCTATACTTAGCCCTCCAGAAATTCCTGTCAGATCCTATAGGGTAACATTAGTCTTTCTTGTACATTTCAGCATCTCATTTGCTGGTGGTGGTTAACATTTCTCAATGCTCTGACGATCATCATAGATGATATAGCCACGTGGTACTGAAGATTTCTATATACCTTTGTCTGGAGCTCTGAAATAAATCTCTTTTATTTCTCTTTCCTCAGCTTGGCATTCTCAGGACCCTGGCCTTTTGGAAGAAGAGGATATGACCCGGTCTCTTGTACGTTTTAAGCATTTATTTGTTTCCTTTGTTATTTTGCAGTTCAATTGCAGTGGGTTACCTAAACTTACCAGTAAATTGGAAAAAACTAAATTGATAAAAATTAGAGTGAGGAAAAATACAGATAGAAGATCAGAACCAGGTGAAATTTGGAATGTGACTATTCAGAAACAGGTCCATACAAAGTTCAATTTGAATATGAGCTGGAGAAACAAAATCGAACTAGGACATGAAGTTTATTACATAATTTATACTGTTTATGAGGAAAAGGCTAATAATTAAGGAAAGAGAAAGCTTTTCAAAGATTTTATTATTTTTTTAAAGTAATTCCTATACCCAGCATGGGGCCCAAACTTAGAACACTGAGATCAAGAATTGTATGCTCTACTGACTGAGCCAGCCAAGTGTCCCTGGAAAGAGAAAGCTTTTCATTGGGACCTAGGTCAAAGAAATTCCAAAATAATTCCATAATTCTTATAATTTTAAGCTCAGTTTTTTAAAAACTCTGTCCTGGCCAAAGATTAAAAGCTAAAATTACCTGCAAGAGTAAATGGAACATGTTTTTCAAATGATCCTACGTATATATTTTCTTCTGTTGAAATTTTTTACAAACTGAACTAAAATGCACTAGCATTCTATGGAGAAATCTTAATAGTCCTTGTATCCATAACTTTCCACATCTTTTTTTTTTTTTTTAATGGCCTTAGAGGATACAGTATTGTTTGTCTTCTTGCTAAATGACTCATTCTCCTTTGTTCTTGACTTTTTTTGTTGCCAGCTCTGGAATCCCTCGCACCCCTGTAGTTAAATACTTTCCTTTTTGCTACCTCTTTTCCTCAACTCATATTTCCCATCCTGAAACACACAAACACACTTCTTTGGGAGTACGATCATGTTCTTGAGATTATTTCTCCTGTTGGCTGAGTGGTTCTCTAGGCTTATAGAGACTTGGGTTCAAATCTAGGCCCAGCAACTTACGAAGTGCATGATTATGGGCAGGTTTCTTAATCGCTATGGCCTCATTTACATTGTTTGTAAATGAGGATAAAAATCATACTTATCCAGTAGGAATAATGGGAGGGTTAAATGTACATAATAAGTGCTCCATAAATAGTAAATATTGTTAATAATTCTTAGCTATAGAAATCCTTCCTATCTGAAAAGGCCTTGGGATGTGTTGGCTATATTCATTGACTTGCCTTTTTAGTTTAACATATGAAACCAATGAGATAAACGTGAAGATGTCTGATTTGGGTTCATACAGTTAATCCTTCTCTTCAGGGATCCCTGGGTGGCGCAGCGGTTTGGCGCCTGCCTGCCTTTGGCCCAGGGCGTGATCCTGGAGACCCGGGATCAAATCCCACATCGGGCTCCCGGTGCATGGAGCCTGCTTCTCCCTCTGCCTATGTCTCTGCCTCTCTCTCTCTCTCTCTCTCTCTCTCTGTGACTATCATAAAAAAAAAAAATCCGTCTCTTCAGTAAAACTACCATAAATACTGTAATAAGGCAAAACTGGGAATAGTTTTTGTAATACATATAACATAAATATACTAACAATTCTTAAAAACTAATAATTAAGAAAATAGAAAATTATGTGAAGAACATGAAGAGGCAGTTGGAATAAAAATGGTCAGAAAGTATCTTAAAATACTAATGTCAAAAAGAAACACATTCAGATTTGCAGATACATTTTTTTAGATGTATTTTGAATTGGTGGGTAATCATCTTTTATAAGAGGATTCCAAATAGTTCACACATGCATTTTCTTTATATAGGAAAAAGCTGGAATCAAGGCGAAGAGTTGTAATCTACACAGATGGAATACTCTTAGCTCTCAAAAAATTCATAACAATTCCTGTCAGATGTCAGATACAAGAGCCAGATATTTTGGACTATCAAATAGAAATGGACTGTCACTGTTCCTGGCTATAAATATAGTTCACAGCAGCTTTTATTTATATGTGAATAGACTACAAGTAGAAAAATCTTCTACAAAGAAGGGAATTAAAGTGCAGAGGTTAAAAAGCTGGCATAACTTCATGCATGAAGTGTGCAATAAAGCCAGAATTCAAACCCATACAAACTAACTCTAGGGCTACATTATGATACTATAGAGATTGAAGCCCACTCCTGAGTGAAGGAATGCAAATTTTGCCAATTAACTGTTCATGTTATTCATTCATTTTATATTGTTTTCCCTTTTCTACTTGAGATTAGGGAATTTGAGAATGCTTTTCTTAGCAATAGGATTTATATAGGTAACCTGCAAATCTGCCACATTTATGGTGTTAGGTATCTTTTGTTGTATAGACACTTTAAATTTAGTTGGTTATATTTAGCACATGATAAATATGTACACACAATAAGAATTCAGTCAACATTAATATACAGCATCAGCATTTAATAGTTCTTTCTTTCCCGAGTTGCCAATGTTGGTCTGTTCTAAGATATCTTTCATAATATTAGGTTTAAAGTTAGTCTGTTTTCAAAACTTTGTTTATCATATTTAGTCTTAGTCTAATTGGAATTTAATTTTGTGATTGATTTTAAGTAAGCATTTACTGATAATTCTTTCATCAGAATTATTTTTACATGTAGAAGACCAATTCCAACACCATTGTTAAATAGGTATTTCTTTTGTGATGCCACCCTTATCATGTACATGCTTAATTGTTCCTAGACTTTTTATTCTGTTTCTTTAATCTATTTGTCTACATTTATACCAGTACTGTACTTTTCTTGTTTTAAGTACTGTAACTTTAAAATAACCCTGTTGCTTAGGCAAGGATTTCTCCACTTCCCACCACATATATGTTGTTGCTAGTCTTTCAGAAAAATTTTAGCTACTTTAGGACCCCTATATCTCTACTTGAATTTTAGAATCAGTTTATCTAGTTCTAAAAGAAGAAAAATCTTGTTGTGATTTTAACTGGAATTGCAAAGAATTTATAGACTAGAGAAGAATTGAGTGAAATATTCTTTTCTATCACTAAGATGTTTCAAGTTAAGGGAATCTATTAATATAATTCATCGTATTAAAAGATAATCAGTTTCATAGATCTGCTAATTTTTTAAAAATCAGAACTTCAGATTTTTTTTAAAGATTTTATTTATTCATGACAGACACAGAAAGAGAGGCAGTGACACAGGCAGAGGGAGAAGCAGACTCCATACAGGGAGCCCAACATGGGACTCGAACCTGGGTCTCTAGGATCACACCCCGGGCCAAAGGCAGCACTAAACCACTGAGCCACCTGGGCTGCCCAGAACTTCAGATTTTAAAAGAATCTACAGGGACGCCTGGGTGGCTCAGCGATTGAGTGTCTGCCTTTGGCTCGGGGTGATCCCAGAGTTCTGGGATCGAGTCCCATATTGGGCTCCTTGCATGGAGCCTGCTTCTCCTGTTTCTGCCTCTCTCTGTGTCTCTCATGAATAAGTAAATAAAATCTTTAAAAAAAAAAAAGAATCTATAAAATAGGAGTAAAAGGATACTTTCTTAACACAATATTGTTAACAATTTTTCTACACATAATAAGCTAAAAGCCAACACCCTGTTTACTAGGGAAAATGAGACACTGAAGTCAAGAACACAACCAGATTGCCCATGCTACTGCATTTATTTACTGTATTTCTATATGCCTAGGGATATAATAAAGAGAAAAAATAGATAAAAATTGGGAAGGTGCATGCAAAATTATGACAGCTAGATGATATATATATGGGCAGCTGAAGAGAAAAAACTGAATCCAATATGGACACAAAATTTATGCAAAAACCAATAGCATTCTGTATATAAACCACAACCAGCTGAAAAATAAAATGGAAGATGGTAAGAGTAGAAACAAAACCATAAAGAAAAAAAGTATCTGAGATATATAGGAGAAAAAAAAAAACTTTAAAATATTAATGTGGCCTGAAACAGGACTTAAGTATATTTTTAAAACACAATTTTTGTATAGGATCCATCATTATTAAACTAATATAACTTCTGTTTAAATCTTCAGACTTATCTGAATAAAGATTCTAAATATTTGGGGCACCTGGTTTCTGCTCAGGTGGTGATCTCAAGTTCCTGAGATCAAGCCCCGCAACCAGCTCCACACTCAGTGGGGAGTGTGCTTGAGATTCTCTCCCTTTCCTTCTCCCTCTGTCCATTCCCCCTTGTGCATGTGCTGTCTCTCAAATAAATAAATCTTTAAAAAAAAGATTCTAAAGATTTTTCTTAGTATAAGGCAAGTCTATTCAACCAGAGTCTAGAATATATTTGCAAAATAAGAATATAAAATATCCAAGAAAAATATGAAAAAATACATCATGCTCCAAGTTTTTAAAGAAATATTTCATATTCGTACTTTAAGAAAAAAATCCCTTTTTAGAAAAAGTTTCCAGTCATATCACAGAACTGATATGTAATTGCCTTTATGCCCTTACTGTAAACTTTTTAAAAAAGATTTGTCCTATTAAGGATCTTAAAAACGAAGGAAAGGAAAGTGGTGTAATACCAGGGAGAACCTTGGAAACGGCTAAGAGGGATACGCATATCCCTCTAAGGCTAGAGGGATACGCATCTTCTTGGTTCTTCTGACAGGAGAAGGAATAGAACTTAAATGACACAAACTTTGAATTTATGTTTTTTAAAGTTCAGCCCCTTTTATTCCTTGTTACTAATATGGCATTTTTAACAACATAAAGAGAGCTAATATCTTGGAAAAGTAGCCTCTTCTAAAGCACTGATTCATCATTTTTTTTTTAAGATTTTATTTATTTATTCATGAGAGACACAGAGAGAGCCAGAGACACAGGTAAAGGGAGAAGCATGCTCCCTGCAAGGAGGCCCAGGATCATGCACTGAGCTGAAGGCAGACGCTCATCCCCTGAGCCACCCAGGTGTCCCCTGATTCATCATTTTAAAGATTTTTTAAAATTTATTTATTTGACGGAACACAAGCAGGGAGAGGGAGAAGCAGGCCTCCTGCTGAGTAGGGAGGAGGGCACAAGGC